ACTGTATACAGATGGTATTAACAAGTTGTATATACTGTATACAGATGGTATTAACAAGTTATATATACTGTATACAGATAATATTAACAAGTTATATATATACTGTATACAGATGGTATTAACAAGTTATATATACTGTATACAGCTAGTATTAACAAGTTATATATACTGTATACAGATGGTATTAACAAGTTATATACACTTTATACAGATGGTATTAACAAGTTGTATATACTGTATACAGATGGTATTAACAAGTTATATATATACTGTATACATATAATATTAACAAGTTATATACACTTTATACAGATGGTATTAACAAGTTGTATATACTGTATACAGATGGTATTAACAAGTTATATACACTTTATACAGATGGTATTAACAAGTTGTATATACTCTATACAGATGGTATTAACAAGTTATATATACTGTATACAGATAGTATTAACAAGTTATATATATACTGTATACAGATGATATTAACAAGTTATATATACTTTATACAACTAGTATTAAAAAGTTACATACACTTTATACAGATGGTATTAACAAGTTATATATACTGTATACAGATGGTATTAACAAGTTATATATACTGTATACAGATGGTATTAACAAGTTATATATACTGTATACAGATAATATTAACAAGTTATATATATATACTGTATACAGGTGGTATTAACAAGTTATATATTCTGTATACAGCTAGTATTAACAAGTTATATATACTGTATACAGATAGTATTAACAAGTTATATATACTGTATACAGATGGTATTCACAAGTTTTATACATTTTTTTACTGATGTCTTAAAGTTAACAATATGTTTAGTGATAAAGATCAGAAAGCTATAAACAAGTATTTCTATTTATTTTTTGCCAATTCATTCCTTAAACTTTGGAAAATAGTAACAACGGAAATTATCGAAACTTGACCAACAACAGTACAGCCATATAAATTTTTCCAGACTCACTCTGTAAAGTAGAGATACAGTTTGGAAGCCAGAACCTTTCTTGCGACCTGCATTTGACAAAAGAATGAAAATAAAAATATAATCTATTGAAATATATCAAGAGAAAAATGTTATATATAAATATATAAATAAGGTCAGATCAAAAATGTTATATATACACACATACATCAAAGATTTATGAACTAACAGTTGTGGTGATGAACTCAACAAACCTAAGGAACCTAGATTACTTCTAAGTACTTACAAATCATTATTTTTAAACACACCGATTGTTCTATGTTTGTTGAACAAAATTTGTTTAATATATATAAGCTACTACTTTCTATATATATATATATATAATCATTTCTCTTGTAATAAGAAAATTGAATTAAAATATCCTGTAGAATTTTGAGTTCATCAGTTTCACCGGAATATCTTCCAGTGTGTACATATATATAAACTTTATTTGGGGTAAAAACTATCATTTAACTCACTTTTCCCGCCTTTTCCGCTTTCGTCACCGCTCCCAAGCCCAGGGTGGTCTTCAAAGATATCTCTGATGAGTTTGTTGGAAGCGTGTTTGAACTGCTCCACAACAGTGTCGTTCAGAGGGTCCTTGTTTTTCTCTAACCAACCCATTAAGTTGTAGGGCACCTGAAACATAAGACAACTTTATCATCCGATTTGTAGAAAAAAACAAAAAACTTAAATACCGCACAAACTCTGGACAAACACAGAATCACTCATCAGCAACCAAGTGGCGCAGTCAATCTAGACGCAAGAAAACTAAATACTGTATGTCAGGAACACAGACACTCAACCAAGTCACTGAAAAGTTTATTAGTTTCGTTCTTTATGAAACCATGATTTTTATTGAATTGATTTTCTTTAATATTCTTTCAAATTTTACCATGTTCTGTATGTATTTCAATTTGTGTTATTTTCATATTTAACTTAATAGTATTTCTGTTAGTAGACTGAACTTACAGTGCCAGCATAGTGTACGATGGCGAAGTGAGCCTCCTTTTGGCCAGGCTTAGGGGGCTTGGGCTTTACAAAGTTTGGAGATTTCCCAAGATGATTGTTCTTTAACTTTTCCTCGAAGGTCTTGTCAGTGGCCTTGGGGAACATAGATTCTTCTTCTAGGATGGACAGGACACCCATGGGCTGAACAAGAAATAATAGAATTCTACATTAAACGTTAACAAAACTCCATGAAATAGTGTTTCAGATAGGTAAAACCAATGGTCTGAGATCGTTATAATTTTGATTAAATGTCGTTAAGACGTATATATATATTTTTCTATTGTGCTTAAAACAAGATTCAAGATTCGATACATGAACATCGTGTGGTTTAATATTTTAAATCGATGCTTTGTGTGTTACGGCATAACCCTATTTTTTACCTTTTCAATTAGCTCAATACAAGCTTGTAAGTCCAGACCGAAATCGATGAATTCCCAGTCAATCCCTTCTCTTTTGTACTCTTCTTGTTCGAGCACGAACATGTGGTGGTTGAAGAACTGCTGTAACTTCTCGTTCGTGAAGTTGATGCAAAGTTGTTCAAAACTGTTGAACTGAACGGAGATAAGAAGTTATTAGTTGAACTGGGTGATGATATTTAGATTGTGTTCTTAAATCTTTTAAGGTAAGGATTGGTGTTTGATTAAAATAATAGTAATAGGTAATATAGTCGTATTTGTTACTATGGAAACAGGTAAGTACGTATACGTTGATATTTCCTTAAACACTGAATAAAACTTACGTCAAAGATTTCGAATCCAGCGATATCCAAGACACCAATGAAATGTTGTCTCTTCTGTTTAGTATCAAGAGTTTCGTTTACTCTCTTCACCAGCCACTTGAAAAGCCTATCATACATGGCTTTGCCCAAAGCACCTACTGAATACAGGACCTGAAATAACGGTGAAACCATTAATATTAAACGAGACAGGTAAAAATAATTTGGACATCCTTCTGTAACCTCTCTCTAATCACCCACTTATCTAAAATATCTTCACTATATAACGAATTACTAACGAACAAGTAACTGTCACAAGTTTTTATGAAAACAAAAAGAACACTTACTTTTAACGTTTATAGAAAACATTAACCCTATCAGTTTGGGTGTAAAATTTATCATAACCTGGTAAGTTATATATCATCTGATCATTTGTGTTCATGTTTCTAGAGATCATATGTACAATATCGAAGTCTTTCGTTTATAAATACAAATTGAAAACTGAGCCTCTACATATTATCTAAATATCTATGAATACTTCCGAATATTTGACGGAACGTTTAAAATTATCACCTGCTCTTTGTTTCTGCCTTGGGTTACAAGCTCGTTGCCAACTTTGATCTTGGGCTTTAGCAAGTTCTTGTACAAATCAGCAGCGTTTAGGCCTAGTAGATGAGCGATTTTTTCTCCTTCCTCTGTACCGTCGGCTTCAGCCTGTTCTTCTCGCGGTCGTTGTTTAAACTTGAGTTCACCTAAGTGCATGACGGAGGAAGTTATCTGGTAAATGTTCAGTTTCTCTTCGTCGTAGAAACCCAGCACATCAAAACCGGTCTGTGGAACACATTTGACAATCTTTTGTATTACTAATGAACTATAACGATCATAAATAATTAAATAACTTGTTTCTACATAAGATTATCTTTAAAAATAATAAATTTATTGGTAAATATAATTCTAGCTTGTCAATGAGATACAAAATAACAAAATAACTTGTTTATACATAAGATTATCTTTAAAAAAGTAATATATGTATTGGTAAATACAATTCTAACTTGTCAATGAGATACAAAATAACTTGTTTCTACATAAGATTATCTTTAAAAAAGTAATAAATGTATTGGTAAATACAACTCTAACTTGTCAATGACTTGATTTTTCTTTACTCAAACTAATATGAAACAAGTAAGCATATAGTATCTAGTCTATAAAATGATATAGAAAACACAGAGCAAGACAATAAACATTCATTTAGCTTGTAGCTTTATTGTGTTATGTCTTGGTGAAAAGGCAATAATAATAAAATAGGAACTTTGAAGTTACAAAATAAACACAGACTACAAAAAGCAACAGTAATTAACAACAAAATACTTAAGTGTTATATAAATAGTATGTAGACACAAATTATTTAAGTGTTATATAGATAATGTCTGGAAACAACGCTTTATGTACAGATTATTTAAGTGTTATCTAGGTAATGTGTAGAAACAGTACTTTCTAAACAAGTCATTTAAGTGTTATCTAGGTAACGTGTAGAAACAGTACTTTCTAAACAAGTCATTTAAGTGTTATCTAGGTAACGTGTAGAAACAGTACTTTCTAAACAAGTTATTTAAGTGTTATCTAGGTAACGTGTAGAAACAGTACTTTCTAAACAAGTTATTTAAGTGTTATCTAGGTAACGTGTAGAAACAGTACTTTCTAAACAAATTATTTAAGTGTTATCTAGGTAACGTGTAGAAACAGTACTTTCTAAACAAATTATTTAAGTGTTATCTACGTAATGTGTAGAAACAGTACTTTCTAAATAAATTTTTTAAGTGTTATCTAGGTAATGTGTAGAAACAGTACTTTCTAAATACATTATTTAAGTGTTATCTAGGTAACGTGTAGAAACAGTACTTTTTAAACAAGTTATTTAAGTGTTATCTAGGTAACGTGTAGAAACAGTACACAAACACTTAGTTGAAAAGGATTAGTAGAGTAACGCTTACATTTCGGGTTTCAACATAACAAGCAAGCCAGAAGAAGTTGGCAATTTTGTTAAACATGCCATTAAAAATTATTTAATTCATGAGAAGCGCCATCTATATAGACAGCAGGTGTACTTACGTCAGTCACCATAAACTCGTCGCCATCATCCAAACCTGGAATTTCTGTCTTTCCTTGGGACACGAAATGGTAGTTATGGATATCATCACAAAGGAGAACTTTTTCTGAAAGGGAGGAATTCATGCACAATGATGAAGGAGCTAAGGAGAACATGCTAAGGAGAGCCACCATAGACTACAGGAGTCCCAACACACATCAAGTAACTTATGTAGCCAAGTTTTCAGTACACAAACTTGACAAATTAACGAGATTCTTTATAAGATTTTACTTCTTGTATTGATCAAGAGTGCGATATTTAGTATTTTTCCAAACTTCCCAAATCTTGGGATTTGATAGGATCTGGAGTTTTTTATAACAATTAAAGTTGTCTTTAAAACATAAGTGCAGTTGTACATATTACTGACAACAGCCGTAATTCAGAATGTAGCCGGCATGGAACGGTAGCCTTGTGGAAAAATATAGTGAAAGGTAAGTTCCCTTTAAAAACGAAACTGTATTATTGCTCTTAACAACAGTCAACTAACCAACCTAATAATATAATTTAATTTGACCGGTCTTAACGAGCATGAGACTTTCTGCTTATTTCTTGTTTTAGAGGTGAAGCTTTTTTTAAAGGGGAAATGCCTTAAGTCTCAAGAATAACATATAAACACTGTACTCTGAATTCTTAGTCATTATCGTAAATTATTTGTGCAGTAAAGTATAACGTAGTGCTGATGAGAGTGTTATGTACTTCTTTTCGAAGCATGACGTAGTGCTGAAGAGAGTGTTACGTAGTTCCGGTAAAACCACGACGCAGTGTTCCATTACACAACTTTCTCGTGCTTGTAAGATGCCATAAGATATATAATTAAACAAAAAAATGAATGATAATCCCTTGAACTTTAGAAAAAACGAGGAAGGGAATACTATCTGTACTTCACGCTATTACAAACAAGGAGAGGTGGTAAGGGTTGTTTATATATTAAAGTAATAATATTGTAGATTCATGCTAAGAAAGGTTTTCTTTTCCTTTCGGGAGGTTTTGAGGGAGTGGGAAAGTGGATGAATTGTTGGATAACAACACATCACGTAATAACTACTTAGTCACGGTTTTCGGCTAAACACTCAACATTATTTTCATGTGAGGGTAGGGAGGAGATGACATGAAGTGGTGGGAAGGAGATGGTGGCTCCATGGTCTTGAGGAAGAAACGAAGGGTGTGGATTTCTCTTTCCTAAAGGATCAAACCTCGTAAGAGGGAGATCTACATCCGCCAGGTGGTTCACTAAAGGGGCACAGGATCTAGTCATAAGATTCTACTAAACTATTAGACACTACAAAGGGGTTAAATCATACTATTCTAAAAAGTGAGATAAACCTTTTGTTCTTACCATGACGATATTCTAAACTTTAGGCTTGGTGGGGATATGTCTAAGTTAAGGATGGAACTAAGTTCTATCGAAACACTAGGGGGGAGGGAAGTAGACGAAGGAATAGAACTATCTGTACTCACATCTGTAATGTGCATTTCTTCTGCGTCATCCACCCCTGGGATATCTGTCTTACCCTGAGACACGAAGTGGTAGTCATGGATATCGTTCGAGAGGAGGGCTTTCTCTAGAAAAAGGGGTAAACAAGGGATTTTCTTTCTTTTTTAACCAAACAGAAAACACAGAGGAAAAATCCAGGATTCTGGGCAGGTTTTCTTTTGAGAGAATTTCTCTACAGAGGGTGTTAACTCAATGTTTAGCTATTCAAGCTTTATTTTGTGTAATAATAACTACTGTAAACCAAGAAAAACATGTTAAATGCACGATATAGACTTAATATTCTTGTTGGTGCCCAGTACTTGGTAAAGCCAATGATAAATCGGACCTTGATTGTCTCTTGTTGAAAACTGACTTATAAAATTTGATGTAATGTTACATGTGCATTTAATATCTTTTTCCAAGCTGACATTCATTCGTTTTGGTGAACTTTGTAGAGAAAGAAGGACTGAAGAACAAACGCACATAACTAGGCATACTAGTCCAGCTCATGCTACAAACAGAATGACTTATACGTCACCAGGTGTATTGGAGAGGCAATGGAAATGGGGTACTTCAAATGCTACATTTTAGTTTGATCAGGGTATGTGTGAGGATAACAACTAACAGTGCAAATTGTTCGACTACATCAGAAAATCATCAGAAAATATTTTTGGTACAAAGGATTCTCTTTCTTTGAGCAGGCAGGAATGAAGGTTAATGACCTTATGGTTGTCCTCATTGCACGAAGTTTAGGTTTGCTTGCAATAACTGATCCATTATACCTGCACAACCTATCACGGTAAACTACTAGGATCTCTATCTTTGAGCGTGCATGCACGCCATCTGGTAAAACTGTAGGAGCACACGTTCTCTGAAACAACAAGAAGTTGGACTGGCTAGTAACACAAGTCAAGAGAATGGAATGGTTTAAGATAAGGGAAACTTGCTACAGGTAGATATAGGAAAACACAAAACCTCTGAAGTCATAAAGAACTTTGGACCAAGATTGGATTAAATATTTTAAAATGACCAATGGGGAAAGAGGAGTGGTATGTGGTTTACATTTGGGCTGGCCTGGTGTTTGAGTTTTACTCACGTCTGTTGCTGCCATTTCTTCTCCATCGTCTACGTTGGGAATATCCGTTTTACCCTGGGATACGAAATGGTAGTCATGGATGTCATCACTAACAAGGAGTTTTGCTGGAAAACACAGTGAAAATAGATGTAATGACGATTTGAGACATTCACTGTTACTTGTGGTAAACACAGGGTCCAAAGAAGGGAGTGGCTTATCGTAATGCAGGGGAAGGATAGACATTCATGGATTTCAAACTCTGGACAAGGCACTTTTCCATTAATATAGCAATCAAGGATTGGAACATTTGTGGGTTCAAATGTTTGGCAAGCTTTTATAGAGTAGTCAAGGATTGATCAATATTCGTTTTGGGAGATTTATGGGCTCAAATATTTGGCAAGACACATTTTCATTAAAGAGTGATCAAGGATGAATCAAGATTCGTTTCGGGAGACTTATGGGTTCAAACATATTGCAAGGCACATTTTCATTAAATAGTGATCAAGGATGGATCAAGATTCATTTCGGGAGACTTATGGGTTCAAACATATTGCAAGGCACATTTTCATTAAATAGTGATCAAGGATGGATCAAGATTCGTTTCGGGAGACTTATGGGTTCAAACATTTGGCAAGACACTTTTTCACTAACAGAGTGATCAAGGATGGATCAAGATTCGTTTCGGAAGACTTATGGGTTCAAACATTTGGCAAGACACTTTTTTACTAACAGAGTGATCAAGGATGGATCGAGATTTGTTTCGGGAGACTTATGGGTTCAAACATTTGGCAAGACACTTTTTCACTAACAGAGTGATCAAGAACGTTTGTGAGTTTCAAAGTTTTGAAAGTGAACTCGTTCGTTTAATAACATAAAATATTGGACTGTTATGAAAGTGATTTTAAAAGTTAATTTTTTAAAGCAATCAAGGATAGGACAGATACACGTAGAAACAATACTTCACGTAATTCATTCTTTTGTGAAGTGATGAAGGATTCGAGACTTTGGGGGATTATTGGGTGTTCAATTACGTACGGAAAAAATATTTGATGGAAGAAACAAAGGAATAGGGCAACATTAAGGTGACTTTGGGGAGATTATTGGGTGTCCAATTATGGAAAAATCTTCAGTGGAAGAAACAAAGGAATAGATAAAAATAGAATAAATTTTATTGGATATTTACTATATATATATATATATATATATATATATATATATATATATATATATATACT